GCCGCTCCAGCAGCGCCGCCGGCGCCGCCGACGCGCGCAGCAGCAGCGCCTCGCGCAGCGCGTCCCAGGGCAGGCGCGCCGCGGCGCCGCGCAGCCACCCGACCGCCTCGGCGCGCGGCGCGGCGAACGCGGTGACGTGCGGATTATCCGGCGGCAGCTGCGCGGCCGCGCCCTTCGCTGAACCCTGCGTCTTCTTGGCTGCTGCTGCTGCGGCGGCGGCCTCTTTTGCGTGGCGTCTTGCGAAGGATGCTATCTTGGCGGCAAAGTCGTCGCGGGCGCTCTCGAGGGCCTTTTTGGGGGCGTCTTTGGCGGAGAGGCCGGCGTTGATGGCCGCCTCCAGCGGGGTCGTGCCCTGGTGACAGTTGTGTGATGTTGGGTGCAAAGGCGGCGTTGGAAGGCGGGCAAGGGGGTGCTGTGTTGGGTGGGCATGGTGGGGGGCAGGGCGAGGGCCTTGGAAGGGAGCTGCTGAGAAGCCAGCCCTCATTGCTGCCCCGTGTGCTTTGCCTTGATCATACATACATACAGCCTTGTGACGAACATGCAGACCCCTTCCCCCCTCAACAGCCCCACCTGCTTCGTGTTGAGACACACACCCCTGTCACCAACTGTTCAGAGGTGGCATCCCTTGCTCCCAATTTCCCATTCCCAGACTGTCTGGCTTTTTCCAACAACATACCTCTACAAACTCCAGCAGCCCCAGGCGCGGCGACATCGGAATGACGTCATACGTCACCAGGGCGCCGCCGCCGCCGGCGCCGCCGGGCCCGCCGCCGCCGCCGCCGGCCAGCCCCCTGGACACGCACTCTGCGCTGCGGCCGGCCAGGCCGCCGATCAGGCGGAACAGCTGCTGCACCTGCGCGGTGGGCGTGCGAGCACAGCAGAGGGTGCGTATGGGGGCGTACGGGGCGGCAGGGGGTGCAAGGGGCGTGTGTACTTGTTGGCTGTCGTGTACGTGATTGTTGCTGGTGGGGATTCTTTGCTGGCGGTCTCTTCCCACCAAGAAGCAGTGCTCTTCCTCCGCCTGTCCCGCTCATTCCAGGCCCTCATTATTTCTGAAGCCCACAACTTCATTCCAGGCGACCTTGTGCAGGGCGGGTCGCAAAATAGCCAATCCCCCCTCCCCCCCACCAAGCACCAAAAGAACATGAAACCCATTCCCTTGACCGCCACCCTTTACCCCCTTCCTCACTCCCTCACAC